CCGCTGCTCCCCTCAGCAGTGTACTTCCTCCATCTGCCTATTCTGCTCCCTGCTCTGTCTCTAGTGAGTCCTCTCACCCTCCACATCTCTCGTTTGTACCCCAGTTCTGTATGAATAAATAAATAAATCTTAAAAAAAATATAGAAAAATACATTTCAAATGATAAGGCCCAGGTCTGATTGATAAGCCACTGAGAATTAGTGTCCAGCTTTCAGAATACTAAACTTTCATGTACTCGGAGAAGGATTGCTCTCACCACATACTCCTTTTCACAGGCACCAACATTTATTATTGTGGTCAAGAATGATTGACAGTGAACCGTAAGTTTCCAGGGAATTCTGGGACACCAGTGGACAAGAGGGAAAAGGGGAAATACGGTGTGTCACCCTCATAGTAAACATAGTGACATTGCAAGAAAAAAGAATTATGGATCAATATCCCTTATGACTATAGTATCAACAATATACTAGCAGCCCTCCCTAGTGGTCCATTGGGTTGGAGTGCAGCACTGCAAAGCTGGCAATGGCTGCTTCAGCGTGAGATTGATCCCCGGCCCTGGAAGTAACCCACATGGTGCAGCAGACCTCTCCTGACCCACCCCCTGCTCCCCTCAGCAGTGTACTTCATTGATCTGCCTCTTCTGCTCCCCACTCTGTCGCTGGTGAATCCTCTCACTGCCCTTGCACCTCTGGCCTGTGCCCCAGTTCTGTATGTATAAAATAAATAAATCTTAAAAAAAAAAAAGACTGTTTTTATAAAAAGGATAGATAATAGAACTGAGAATCCAGACTTATAGTCAGTTTTTTTTTAATTTGACCAATTGAAATTTATGGCAAATTGATGTTTTTAGAATAAACTTTATCTTACTGTATTATTATTGGCTTTTTTTTTTTTTTGAGAGCAGAGCAGGCATATTTATTGAAATATACTAAGAAAAGCAGTGGTTGAGGGCCCTCTCTGGTGACACAGTGGGTTAAGGCACAGCACTGAGGGGCTGAAGCCACTTCTGCATGAGTTCGATCCCCGCCTGCCCCGGAGGAGATCCACATGGCGAGGCAGAC